TGGGGGGGTACAGGTGAGGCTAAACACACCTGCACTGGCTCCATGGTCTCTCCCACTGCCAACACTCAAGTCTCTGTAAATGCTCAGGAGCTGATTCTGATTCTCCAATTATTTTGCCTTAAGATTTCAGCACAAGGAGCTGCTCAGGGAGCTGCAGCAGGGCCAGGCAAAAATAAGAACTTCAAAGCTTTGTAGAATGAACCAAAATTACCAAGATTATTCATCATATCTCACTGACTGATTCCCCAAATAACAAACCCTTCATTCTGTCCTCAGATTACATGTACAAAGTAATCTGAGAGTGCTCTACTCCAAAGCAGCATGTCAGAGCACAGGACAGATTTAATTTCACCCTAATTCACTCCTGCCTACTGAAGCTGAGCAGGGAATAAGGAACACAAAACATTTGCATCCTGCTAGACACCCTGTACAGGGGCTAATTAGTTAAGGTCAAACATCAGTGTAAATCTTTCACTCCCCTGCCACAAAGAAAGTAGCTACATTTCAAAACTTAGCAGTTTCTTCTTTGTCCTGATTGCTGTGAAGCTCTGCTAACATTTCTTACATTCCTTCTTTGATGCTCATGTGCTGACTGCAGGAGCAGAGATTGGTTAGCTGCAGAACAGTGCTATCACATTTCTGTAACACATCATTTCCTACTGACAGATTACAAAGGGTTTAACAAAAAGCACATTCAGGATCTAGATGGGAAGTTACTCCAGGTCACCCGGCAAACAAGCAGAAGAGCCAGAGAAGGTGACAGATCTTCTGAGGCCCAGCAGAATGGGCTTGCCTCAAAGCCACACTGCTCTCCCTGCTGCCAGCTGAAGGGTGAAAGAAGAGCAGGGGCTGGGAGGGAACTGCAAAGGTGCACGTGTCCAAATGCAGTGTCTGTTCTGAGTGAAGAAAGCTGTAATGCTCACATTCAATTCTTCCTGCTGAACAGTCATCCAAAGAAATTAATACCTTCATTTTTGCAGACTTCAGAATAATTTTATATATTTACCTCGTAGGCTCTTCTGGAATTCATAAATCACACTTAATGAGAAGTATTAGCCCACACTTACTGCAATTACATGATGAATGTTTGATTTCTGGCTTACAGCCTGAAAAATACATAGATTTCTGTGATCTCTAGAAAGGTAAAGATGAAACCTCATGTTTTAATTAGGGGCTAATAGCTTTAGTTCACTTCAATGCAAAGGCCTTTGGTTTTTTAAAAGCTTTCCAACCCAGCTGAAAGGCTGCTACTCAATTAGTCTGGAGTTATACATCAGCTGATCAAGCAGTGACAGCCTAAGCTACTGCTTTCTCTGTAGGAGCTTTTAGCTGGGGGGAAATGCATTGCTTTGACATCCTCTGGCTGCACCAGCACTGCCAAAGTGCTGATGAAGACTGAGCTCAGCAGGTCCCACCACTGCAGCTACACAGGATCCAACCCTGAGCCTGCCCCTGATCCCCAGGGAGCTCTGCTGGAGCTGCTGCCACTCTGTGAGGAAAAAAAAAAGGGAAAATCTCATCTCTGCATGAATCTGTGCAGTTCTGAACAGCAGTAATAATTTTGGAATCAGTGATTGGAAGTGTGTGTATGTGAAAGCAGCAGAACAATGAACAGAGAGGCCTGTCTGGATAGTGAGGGATGCCATTCCATCAAATGGAGCATTCACTCCTGCTGTCCAGCCCCACAGGCCCCACACTGGGGAGAGCACAGCACAGGCAGCTCCTGAACAAGACCCTGCTCTGACAGCAGGACAGGCACAGAAGTCTCAGCAAACCACAAATGCCAGTCCTCCTGTCAGCCCAACAGGCCAAGGGGCTCACAGGAAGGCAGCAGCAGTAGGATATAAAAGATATCCTAAAGGAAAGAAAATATTTGTCCAAAAAGTTAGCTAATCATTGGCAATCAAGAAGAACCAGGAGATGAAGTGAGGATTTGAATCATCCTCCATGTGCACAAGCAAACCTGGCCAGACCCTCTAGCAGGTATGGCTGTCTCTTCCCTCATCCTGGGAGCCCTGTGAGCACCACCACACTGTGCTGCAGCCCTGCAAAGAGAGAGGCTGACTTGGAAAAGCTGCCCACGGAATGCCAGTCCCTGTTACCTTTCATAGTGCCTAAGAGGTGAGAGATGATGTGACAAATACAACGTGAACAGGCTAAGCCAAGAGTCCCCCTCCTCTGTGGGGCACAAGGAAATGCAGCCCTGCAGGTAACAAACTCCTCACTGGCTGCCAGCTCCACTGTGGACAATCTGCCTTTGCAAACCAGCTGCTGCTCAGCTCACAAAATCCACTTGTCCCTCAGTAATCAAGAAGTAAACTGCCCTCCTCTGCCTGATTCTGTATTTTCTCACTATAATTAAATGTGACATGCAGCTGCAGTAAATATTTGTGCTGTCACAGCTTACATATAATAATCACCAAAGAGCCAACTTCTGCAGGGAATGCATATAAATTTTAGTCTAGGCTGTAGCTGGGCTGATATTTTTAGTCTAATACAAATTCACTAAAGCTAGAAATTTGACAGAGTAAGAGCAAAAAAGGAATGCAACCTTACTTTCCATAGTGAAAGGTAGCTAACTGAGTTACCCAGATACTGAGGCAGCCTTGAGAGGCTGAGTTTAAGAATTAATCTAATTGCCACTAGATGGCACATCTCATTTACTAGTCTGTATCTGAATGTAGGACTGCCTTTTAAAAAAGCATGTATACTCCCTGTCCTTGCTAACAGAACACTTTGTGCTGCTTTCTGTTTCGAAATCAGAAAGCTTAAAAAAGCCCAAATTAAAAAAAAAAAAAGAATTTTTAACTAAAAAGTATACCATCTGCCAATGAAAACCTAGCTTGATTGTATCACATGTACAACCAAACCAGGTTAATAACCAGCATCACAGATGGTTTCTTTATGTAAATATGTACATCTCCCCATAGTGACTGTTTCAGCTGCTTCCCAAAGCTGCTGGCACTGTGTTACCTCATTTCCCAGGCAGTGGCTGTGCCTCACACTCAGCCTGGACATTATGCAGCTGGAATGTGTTTCAGAAGTTGCCATCCCCTGCCTGTGGCTGCTTCCAGCACCAGCAAGGGCTGCAGTGGTGGACAGCCATGTCTCCACCAAAGAGCAGCAACAGATGGATATTAAAGCACTCTTGTGCAGCTGCTCTGCTCCCTCAGATGATCAAATCTGCTGAAGGATGCTTTTAACTTCCCCAAATTCCCACTCAAGGCTACAGTGATATCATGGTGACCCCAATATGACAGCAATGGGGCTACAGTCAGAGAGCACTAAAGGTACAATTTGCTCTTCCTGCAGCATTCAGCAGTATAAACTGTTACAAACCACTGAAACACAACAAAATCTTTGTGGCTGCCATGCTCATTTTCCCTCAGTAATTAAATATCAGGGTGCCCAACAGGAGTGGTCATTTCCTCATTCTCTCAAGTCCAAACTCACATGAGATGAGCATTGAGCTCATTTCTGTTCTTCCAGTGCCAGCAGTGAAATGTGTTTCAGACCAGTCTGCAAACTGACTGCTACCACTCTGAAAACCTGCCACCTTCCAAGGAGCTCCAAGAGCATCTGTTAAAGAAAGATACAGAGAACAAACTGTTAAATAAAGAAACAGAGAACAAACAGAAGTAAAATCCTTTCTCCTGGTTCTACTCCAGTCATCTGAAAACCTCTAGAAGTTAAATTTATTGCAATGACTAAGAGCATGCTCCTCTGTGGCATGAAGCTTCTGAGGAGCTGGGCAGCAGTGGGGTTTGACACGAGCTAGGATTGCTCTGTACAGAACTCTGATCTTCTGGGGCCTGAGTTCTGGTGGCATCCATGTAACACATGCCCCTTTCATACCACAGTGAAGGCTGAGTGTGGTTCCAATTGGTTTACAATTTCTGAGGGTGTAATAAAAAGCATTGCAAAAAATACTATTAAGAGTATGACAGGAGAGCAGAGGACCAGAGTAAAATGATCTAAACTCCATCCATGTCTATTACACTGGTACAAGTGATAAAAATCAAATCACTACCCACACTGGGGCCCAAATTCATGAATATCTGTAAAATGGGGGTCCTGATATTGATGTCTGAAACCACAGAAATTTGTAAAGGTCTGTTTAAATACTAAAGACTATTAGAGATGAACTGGAATCCCCATTTTTCCTATGGCCTGCTTCACAATCAATTGTCAGCTCTGTTCATTCTGGGTTTGAACAGCTGAGCAGAGGATGCCAACTCCATCCCAAGGGATCATTCAATCATCTGCCACTGCTAGCAGTGTGTCATTTTCGAAAGACTGAATTTAATTTGTGAAATAACCAAAGAATTGCAAATAAAACAACTGGGTTCATAAAAAAAATAGTATTTTTAAATGGATATAGTTTGTAAAATCTTTTAAAAGTTGCAGTGTGTGTAATCTGCCAATGAAACTGAAACCCCACTGATTTCAGGCATGGCAATATGAAACTCTGACAAGGTTAGGAGTGCCCACTTACCATTGTTTTTCACCTCCTTCTCACATCACTGAAAAAAGTGTTATCAAATGCTGAGAACAATCACTGCCCTGCATGCCACTGAATTTATCAAAGGCAAATGGAACCTGCAGGAGTAAATTAATCAAATACACACAACAGCAGCTTTGAGTTTAAAGCTTCACCGTTTAAACCTCAACTTATAAAAACCCATCACACACACACACAGAGCTAGATCTTTATCTTAGGCAAAAAATGAACTTAGCAGAACAGTTTCACGTGTCTTTACATACAAAGAAGGCACACATGCACATTTCCTGCCTACAAACTTGCCTTATGAGTGCCTTGAAACCCAGAGTGACCAGCTGGCTGGGACACTACTCAGCAGCACAGCATTTGGTGCTTACAGTGCCAGTGCAGCTGGCACAGCAGCCCAGCCCAGCAGCACTGCTGCTGCCTGCCCACTGCAGGCCTGCCTGAGCTCCTCAAGTGTTCCTCTCATCTAAAGCAACACACAGACCACTAGGAGGTTTCTTATTTACATTTTAATGAAAACAGAGGACCAGCTGTACAGACTCAGTCCAGAAACCAATGCTCAAAGGACAACCTTCATCCTGGGGCTCATATAAAACTGGCAGATTCAGCTCCCCATTTTTTTCATGTCCCACACTCCCATTCCAGGGCACAGAAGCCTGGTGAAAACTGGATTGAAAGTGTTCACAGATTGTTTTCCTGTTACTTGAAATCTTGTTTAAGTATTTATTTCATTTCTTACATAAAGGATAACTCAAGAATTACAATAAAAACGTGACAAAATATGGACTGAGTCTTTTAAATTCACAGTAATGTACTTCCTTATAAAACTTTCCTTTGCAGGGCTGAAACAAACAACAGGTAAAATTCTTCAGTCCCCCAGCTACTTTGGCACCTTGTGTGTCATTCACAGGGAAAAAAAAAATAAAGCACTTAAACAGAATCCATTCTCCTAAATAAAACAAACTGACTTTGAAAATTTTCACAAGCGACACATTAGCCTAAGAGCAGCATGATTCCCTTCAGCAATTTGAATTAGTCCTGGTGCAGAGCAATCCAAAATTACATAGCAAGTCTGTGTCAGGATAATGCAGTAATCTAATACTATCCTTACAAATCCATACAAATCAGAAATTATAACAATAATGATAAAAATTTAAAAACCTCCAAACACCAAAACCTAACATCCCAAACTTAGATCAGCATATATTTATAATAAGTACTGATACCTAGCAATTGTTGAAGATTCACAACTATGGGAGTAAAATACATTCCAGCATAAAAATCCTGCTCTGGAGAGGATTATTCTGCATAGGTTAGTTGTGCTTTTAACTCATGGGTGAGGTAAGTGGTCAGCACTCCTAATACCTTTTCTGTGAGAGCAGAGTTTGACATTACAAGAGCAATCAGCTGAGCAGCATCAGTCCAGTCTAAGTTCCTGACAACAGCCATGGCTTCAGCACAGAGCTTCTGCTTCTCAGCAGGAGGCAATTCCATTAAAACCTGAGGGACTGACTTGAACTGTCCAGAAGTCATCCATCCAAGCAATCCACCCAGTGCTCCTCCTAGGAAACACAGTGAATCATCAGTCTTTAGCAGTTAATGTGAAAGCCTGCAATTCCATCCTCAGCCTTCACCAACAATGCTCCCACCACGATTAGAAATCAAGATAAAGTTGTTATCTGTGTCTGCTTTAACCAGGTTTATACACAGTTTTCAAAGCATCAAAAAGGATTTTAAAAGCTCTTTACATCCACAGCAACCATAAAGAAACCCTTTATACAATCAACACTAGTATAAGTGTTAGAAACAAGCTTAGAAACCAGACCCAAAGCACTCCCTGGGACACTCTCCTAGGGTAAGCTCTACTGCACAATAAAACCTTGCCCAAGGAAAACAACTGCCTCAGCAGTGTTATAATCTCTTACTAGATACTCCCAGAGTGGTCAGAGCTTTCTGGTTCTTTAAGAGTCACACACTGCAGTGTCCTACACACCTGAAACCCACCCCTGCAGGAGCTCAGAGACCAAGCCCACCAGACACATCCAGCCTTTCATCTACCACGGGCACACCCTACCCTCCCCAGGTGGACAAGACATGCTGGGCTAAGTGGAAGGTCCCAGGCTATCAGGATAACAGCAGAGGGATGGATGATGCCTGTGGCTGCTGAGAAAGCAGCCCGGCAACCTTGCAGGGCTCCCCTCCAGCAGCAGTGTGAGTGCAGCACAGCAATCCACAGGACAGCACTGTCCAGAGCACACACGGCCTGGGATGGATGGACAGATGGAATGAAGGCAGGAAGGACAGAGAGAGAGAGAACCCTCCCAATGGAGAGGTGGCAGAACTGACCCTGCCACCAAAACTGCCACCCCCAGAGACTGTTCCTAAAAAGTCATCTAGGCACTCACAGGGATGCAGCTTTTCATTAGACAAAAACTCTGAATTTGCAGCTTTTACTCAGTTAGCAATTTTTCCCATGATAGCACAGAAATACTTGAAAGCCTCTGATGGCTGAATTCATCTTCAAGGGAGTTTTATGAGAACATCAATAACTGATTTAGGGGCACTTAATGCAAAAGCCACTAGGAGCATTCATGTCTAAGATTTAACCCCCCTCTTGTTCCTAAGAGAAGCACACTCACCCACAGCAATTCCAGGAGGGCCTCCCAGCATGCCCCCCACAAAGGCAGATGCCCCAGTGAGCATGGCTCCCCGGCCAGAGTTGGCCACTGCAGCTTTCATGCCCTTCACCGTGGCAACGTGGCTGAGCAGCGCCATCACATCATCGACGCGCAGCAGCATCCCGGCGTCCCCAAAGCCTGCAAGAGATCTTTGTGTTACCTGGTGGTCACTGCAGCTGAGACTAAACCTAGCTGCTAGATGAACCTGGGGGAAGATAAGCCACTTAGGTCAAAGACAAACACAGGAAATACTAATTGCTTTCTCTATTGATTCTCAGAAAAGCACTCCGTGCAGCACATGCTGAAGGTTACTGAAAATGCCAACAAGATCTCATGTTAGACCAGAAAAGAAATGGGTTTATAAGAAATTGAGAGATTCTCCAGAATCAAATTCTTCAGTACATGGCTGCTGGCCTGAGCAATTCCCATGTGTGTTCAGCATCACACATAGCTCTGGGAAAAAAACAGAGCTTCACTCTACCACAACTAGCAGATTATAATTGACTCATCTGTCAGGTGTCTTCTCACTGTCCTAATTTTTACCACAAATCCATCATTTACTTTCACATATCAGTTCTTCTCCCTGTTTGGTTACGTGTTTAAACACCTGCATGCTGATTTCTGAAGGCAGGGGTCTGTCTGTAGCTACCAAGAAGTGCCTGAGAAGTGCTGGAGGACAGAGCTGGTGCTGGGACATGTAGTGCTGAGCTGCTCTGGAGCCAGGCCAGCAGAAAGGCAGGGCTGGATGGAGAAGGCAGTCAGGACTCAGAGCACAGATGCCAGCAGAGTCTCACAAAGGAGCAAGCAGAGACACAGGGCCCCAGCTTGTGAAATGCTGTCCCATATCCTCAGCAAGGGACAGAAACTTGTCCCTGAGAACAAGCACTCTGAGACCAAAACTTCTCCCCCTCAGTCACTTCCTGCTGCTGCTCACCACAGAAATCCTTCCCATTCTGCACACCAGCTGAGGAAAGGGCTTCCAGGGATAATTAAAAACTAACAAAAAAATATTCAATAGGATTAAAAATAAAATCACATTGACACAAGTTGCAGATTTCTCGTTGTACATGCAATGCCAGCACTGTAGAACAGATGAGCATTTGGGGTTTTTTCAGAAGCTAGAAGACCTCTTAACCCAGTGTGTGTGCAATACTTTCTCAGCCCAGGCCAACCTGTTTCAGAGTCATTCCAGAACAGATCTCCTCAGTGCAAAGTTAATGTGCAGTGGTATCATATTATTTTTCATATTAAAAACTAGCCACTGCAACAGAGAAAGCTTTCTTCTGCACTAAAATGGCTGAGTGCAAATCATCCATGGCACTGCAGATCCAGGCACTGCTGACCCTGAAGAAAGGTCTGGCTTTTGGGAAGGGACCACAGATGCTCCATAGCTGCAAGGAGGCCCAGCAGGAAATCCATCAATGAATTCTCTCACTACTTCATTCATCTCTGTGCCAGTCTCAAGGAAATATCCAAGTTCATCATTTCACCAGTGCTGCTTTTGGGTTCTTGGCAGGCTGCTGGCCCAGCAGTGGCTCAGAGTGGCAGAGTGTGCTGGGCAGTGACAGCAGAGCCACACACTCTGCCCCCAGAGTTACACATTTTCTCATTCCATAGGGCTCCAGCTCCAAGGAATGAACAAATGGCTGCTCTGCCTGTCCTAGAGCAGTGGGGAAAACCCCCCCAAATACACTACTGGTACAGCTGCCACTGCCAGGCCTGGAAAGAGAGACATTTAAGTGTTTGTTTTCACCTTTCTAACCAAAGGTAAGCACCTTTCCACTCAGAGTGCCATTCACAGCAGCCCCCAGCAGGCTGAAGAGCTGCAGGATTCACTCCCTCCTCTCAGACACTGATTTGTGCTTGTGCTTCACCTCTGTGCAATGTCCCAGACTAACCCAAAGTGCTGAAAACAATTTGCATCTCCTCTCTGGGCTAAATTCAGTCCATGTCTCACACAAAGCCCTCCAGGATGAAGGCTCTGCAGCACAGCTGGGACAGCACACCTTGGAGAGCTGAGAACCCAGGGCTCTCCCTGATGCTAACATAATCAGCTCTGCCCCCTCAAACTGAGAGAGTGCTACAATTTCCCAAAGCAATCTGATTGTACCAGATGTGCAATGATGTTTTGTGAGCAGACACACCCACAGCTGAAGCACCAGGTTCCATCACTGGGTGGAAGTTGCTGCCCAAAGTCACTGCAGTGCCATCCTCCACAGGGCAATACTGAGAGGTGTCCTCACAGTGACATGGCAAAGGTGACCAGCTACCCTTCATTTCTCTGGATAAATAAAACACTCCTTAATAACTACCTTAAAGAGCAGGTGACCTAAAGTTAAAGAATAGCCAGGCCATAAGGCAAGTGGTCATCACACTGCTGCCTGGTGGTGTACAAATTTGGGGCAAGGCAAATTTGGAACCCATCAATCACCGTCATTATAAAACAGAAACTAACTGGCACTCCAGAAACTGAAAGTAGGTTTCCCATATTAAATTACTGACCATTTCACTCCCATCACAACTCCCCCATAGGGAATCTGCACTCGCAAAAATAACATTTATTTGGGCTCTTTTGGCTTGACTGAACAAGGCTCTTGGCATAGCAGAGTGGGTTCTGCTTAATTCTGGATGTGAGCATCACACTCAAAACTCTCAATGACTTCACAAGGACAACTCATTTTCTCCAAAATCTTACAGGTATTTCTATGATCCCTTGTCATATTCACTATAACTTAAGTCCTGCAGAGAACACTAGTGAACACAGTACCTGAGGCACAGCACATAAAAGGACTTTAATTTTAACAGCACATACAGAGCACTAGTGGGAGCCACTGAAACATAAACCATGGCCTAACATGTAAAGTAACCCCAGATTCCTACATTTGGCACACAGGATTCTGAATTCAATTAAGAATCAAGATGATCAATCAGGCAATTTTCAGTGAGCAGGTATTTATTCCACCACACACCCCAGGCCATTAAAGGATATTTTGACAATACACTCACAAGTTGCATCACAGAGGCACCACAAAAGTGTTTAACTGCTATTAGGACAAGCAGCCCCTACCAAAAACCAATTTCAATAAGTGTCAGCAGCCAGCCAGCTCGCTCAGGAAATCAAACAAAAGGCTTACAAAGCTCTGCAGCTCCAAACCTCTAACACCTCACACAGTGGTGACGTCTGTGAGAAGCCGCCTGCAAGAATGTGGAGCACAAAGCTGCATCTGACATCAACCTACTGATCAGAATCACAACCAAGCAGGAGGGGAAGATAGGCATGGTGCAGAATGCCACTGGTGCCACAAAGGAGCAAGGATCCTACCCCAGAACAGCACAGAAGGAGCTGTAAACTTTGTGTGTTAGAGGTACAATCATATGATAGCCAAAAGCATTTACAAACTCTGATGGTGTAACTGACAAGTAACTCAATGTGCAATTTGTTTCTAGCAACCAATTGTTCTCTACTGAATTCACCCACACATCAGGAAACACCAGGATTGTAAACCACTGGCTTTGGTCCAATGAAGGGATAGAAATGTCAACATCCATAAACTGTGTGCAGCTTTCAGAGGTGCTGAGTCCCCACAGCTCCTACTGACATCATGTGGTACTGAGAATCTTCAGCACCTCAAGAAAAAACAAACCAGAGAGTTCCAGAACATGAAATTGCTGACAAACCAAGCTCTGTTGTGCAATGTTTTTGTTCTACTGCAGTTTGATGGCTGCTCTCCTTGTGCCTTTGTGGTCTCCCCAAACACTCATCCCAGTTTTAGATTCTGTACTTCACTTGATGCTCCCTTGCTTACTCAGGAGAACAAAGTGAGCAATGCTCCTGCTCTCCCTGTCCAAAGAGATCATGTTCCAACATCTCAACTTTGAACCTACAGCCAGCAGGTTTTCTTAAGAAGAAAAATGTCATAGAAAGCAGTGAAACAACAACATCATTCCCAACTCACTGAAAGTGCTGCTAATACAAAGAACTGAAGAGGGTTCCCAGTGAACTCAGTGGTGTGAACCTCATTTCAGCTGCTCCCAGGTTAACATTCCCATCTCATCAGTCCACTTCCCCCTTCACCAAATGATGACTTCAGACAAGCAGAAGCCCTTCAGTTCCTGCACTGAGAGAAAAATGAGCCTCTTCCCAAATGCCCACAGAGCAGACATTCCCAGCAGCACCCAGCCTGCCCCACCATGGAGCTGTGCTCACTGCTCCTTGCAGCTTCTCATGGGGGAACTGAGGGAACATCTCAGCCACGTGTACATACACAGCACAAAACCCACCCACACAGCACATCCCAAAGCACTGGGAAGATCCAGAGACGAGTGCTCTTACCTGTGCCTGTCCGCATCATGGTGGGCACCAGATGGTGATGAACAGGAATGTGAGGGGACAATTCCTTCTGTCTCAACTGTACAGCAACAGCTCTCTATGAACTGCAACCTTTCATAAGAAATATGAGAACAGCACTGGAGAAAATCCAAACACAAGGTACTCAGAAACTGAGACAGCCTGAATAACACAACTTCACAAACAACAGTGTGCAGGACAACATCACCTGATTGACTGAACAGGCCAGAAGTCCATCAATAATTTCAATAAGAGCTGGTGGACAGACAGGACTCAAGGTACTGAGTCCATCTGCCAAGGAGGACAATCTCATCACTGGTGCCTACCCATCCTGTGAGCACGAGCAGCACCTGGCTGCTAAACCATCACTTTCTGAAGATCCTGCCTTTACAGCCTGGTCTAGCACTTGGAATCTGCAAAGCAGGTGGCCTGTCTGATAGAAATCATGACTGGCATCTGCAGCCAGTGAATATACCAGTTTTGAATCTGCTCTGCATTTGCAATTTTCATTTATTTTGCTAAGAAAGGTTTTACTCCTGCTTGGTGGCATAACAGTTAAAATATGCTTACTGCCATTCTCACCTCAGCATTTGGTCTTCTGCTTTCCCAACCACAAGAATTCACTATATTTACAAACACTTACTGTAATAATAAGCTACTGACTATATATTTACTCAAATTTCTTTCAGTTTCAATTATTTGAGATGGTAAGAAACCCTTGTATTTGCTAGACAACCTGAATTCAATTGAAATGCACAAAAGAGCATTTTAATATATTTTTGTAAGAACTGAGGCCTTAAGAACATTGCTTTCCTCCTGTGTATTTATCAAAGCATGTAATATAATCAAAGCACTTAATAGGTTTATTTAACACAAGAGGTAACAAATTCACTTATTAGATGAGCAAACTACTTGTAGGGACCTAGAAGCTGATTTTACAAGGTTCTTAGATGCCCAAAAATGCAGCTAAATATTCAGTGGGAATGATCTCATTCCACTGAGATAAAAGGAAATTTGGCACCTAACCTGCCTAGGGACTTAGGATACCCAGCTTACCTGGTCTGCTGAATTACAAAGCATCTGTGAAAGAACGGCTATAACTCCTTCTGCCCTTGAATTTTTGTAGACCTCATTCATTGTCCTTCTAATTAATAAACTAAGAACTACTCTTTCCCCACATTTCCTAGCCAGTTTCTCCATTTTGAAGGCTGTACTCAAAAAAGTTACAGGTTGCTTTCATCAGCTAGCTGATACTGAAGCCAATAATGTGACTTTCAGTTAAGAAAGAGGAAAGAGCTGACACTCAGAAACACAAATCGCAGAGCTGTTCTGCTGTAGAGGTACTTAGCACAGCACACAGCAGTGATATCTTCAAAATCTGAACTAAGCCTGAAAATTAAAGATGTTTTCCCTGACTCATTGCAAAAACATAGAACTTCATCTCATTAAAATTAATCAACATGTTCTGAATGCTATAAAATTTATTAAAAATGTTATGACTAAAATAGGCTGAGCATAAAATGTAATTATAAATCCTTTGAAATAGCCGAAATTTAATTACACTATAGCTATTTCTTTATTTATTTCCCTGTCAATTTCAGGTTTACTGTTGCTGAAGCATTGCTCCAGCCGCAGTGTGACTTGGAGAAACGAGGAATGACATGCTCATTCAAAACCCACCTAGACGTGTTCCTGTGTCACCTGCTCGGGGTGACCGTGCTTGGGCTGGGTGATCTCAGAGCTCCCTTCCCACCATAATGACTCGGGGATTCTGTGCAGCGCAAGGGGACTTCAGTGGGGCCTGAAGGTCTTTGGGGGCATTAGCGCCGCAC